CCTTAAATAAACAAATTTATCAGAATTTATAAAATTCTCTTAACCGTTATGGTTTTCACCCATTCATACGAGTTCGCACATTTTAAATTTCAGTTATCCAATTTGAACTCTCCATTTTGCCGCTGACTTGCCTATAACCAGCTCGCGAAACGAAAGACAGTAAATCATGGATCTGGCATAACTGAACTGTTCTTTTTTCCGTGTGATATTCCACTTGTAATTTTTCAACATGTTGGCCTTGCACATTGGCGTTTGTATTGAAACGTTTGAACTGGCTAAAGAGAGCGGCTTGTGTTGAGCTGGCTGGGGCACTCAGCGCGGCCGGCCGTGCGCCGGGCGCGGAGGCGCTGAACGGCGCGTCGGCGGGGCCGGCGAGGCGGCGGCGCTGCGCAAGGAGCGGAGGCGCGCGCTCGGCCGTGCGCCGCCAGGAGGCGGCCTGCCGGCTGTGGTGGCGGCGCTGGGCGCGCGGCTTGCGCGAGCGCGCAGGCCGCGCCCGCGCCGAGCGCGCGCTGCGCGACCGCCAGCTGGCCGGCGTGCTGCGCGCGCTCACCGCCCTCGAGGCGCCGCCTGCGGCCAGGAGCAGCGCCCTTATCCGGCCGGCAGCTCGTCGAGCGCGACGCCACCATCAGCGCGCAGGGTGAGAGACGGGGAGGAAGGGAGGAAAGAGAGAAGGGAGACGAATTAGGGAGAAAGAGGCAGGGAGAAAAGAGAAGGAGGGGTGGTTCGGAAGTGGATGAGTGTGGATTGGAGAAGGGAGAGGGCAGAACAGAGGAAGGAAGAGAACCGAGGAAGGGAGAGAGAGGGAGCAGAGAGGAAGGAGCAGAGAGGGAAGGGAGGAAGGGAATGAGAGGAAGGGGAAAGGGAATGAAGAGGAAGGGAGGAAGGGAATGAGAGGAAGGGAGGAAGGGAATGAGAAGCCTGGGAGGAAGGAAATGAAGATAGGGAGGGAATAGAGGGAGGGATGAGGGAATGATAGATAAGGAACGGAATGAAGAGGGTAGGGAGAAGGGAATAAGAGGGAGAGAGGGAATGAAAGGCAGGGATGAAGGAATGAGAAGGGCAGAGAGGGAGGGGAAGAGAGGGCAAGGGAATAATGAGAAATAGGGTAATGTGAGTGAGGAAGGGAGAGGTGGATATTATAATAGATATATCTGTAACGTAGGCATATAGTGAATTGAACGGTCAGGTGTTCAAACGCGATGTAAATGAGGGGGATGAAATCTTGACGATTTTGGGGGCCAAGTAAGAATGTGAAGAATGAAGAATGACAGATGGGCGGTGTTAAGTGTGGTTTGGCGGGAGCAGAATGGCGTGTGTTTATTGTAGAAGGCCATACCAAGAACCGGAAAATGGAATTACTTCCTGTGGAATGGCAATGTTCATTCAAGAGTTCGGCATTCCTGGAAAGTGAATGCGTAACACTCACAAGGGACATTCGCGGTCTACAAAACGCTCAAACACTAACATTTTAGTACTTTGTAGTTTCATGCACCAGGAGAGGACAACACCTGTAATACTCTCTCACGTCGCTCGTACATGCCACTTTCGTCCCTTTCACTAATAGCTTCTTCGTACTTCCCTGATCTGTGTATTCTACCTGCCTCGCTACTGAAGTTTCCTGGCCGCTCGAGCCTGCCACCTCCCCTCACGGCAGACTGGCGCCTGTTTCAAGCGGCTTTTGACGAGTAGTTACCGCTGCAAAACTACCGTGTGGCTTCAATAAATCCTGCTTTACTTCTTCCAATAACGCGGCTGTTCGATTACTTAATAAAGTATATCCTCTGTCACATTCTCGAGGTAGGACAGCAGCTTTCGTGACGACCTTTCGAACGGTCCTTCTATCTCGACTTTCTGCTACTGGAGATTGCCGAGCTGAGCATCCAGTGGCTGCAAAATGCCACCACGCTTTCTCCCGTCAAATTCTTGTCGCTGATGAATTTGCGTTTACAATATCAAACGACGCGCCCTGAGTGCCCTCAAAATTTCCCGGCTATACCGTTGATTCTGCCTCACTCACGTGCGGTAAAAGCAATTCTCTAGCCGTTTTGGTCGATCACATGATTAATTCTTTCCGCACTCGCGGGCTGCGGGCATTCCACGTATCATGTGATCGACGCGATCCACAACTGTAAATTTCCGCTTGTCTGGCTTCTCATAGCGGCCCTGACATCGGTTTTCTTACCCCTGATTTCCCTGAATTTCAAATGCTTCTGACATCGCTTGCTCGCGCTTCGCTACATGTTCCGCTGCAGCTTCCGGTTTCCTGTACTGTTTAAATGTGGACCGTTTCCAGCCTGCCCTATTATTTCATAATTATCTAGCTTACGAGCTAACTCCAGAGTACCTTAAATTCCCCCACTCATCAATAAAATGCTCCTTTGATTTCGATAGGCACTCGGCGTTTCAGTTGATCCGTTACAATTAAATTCATTAACTCTTCAAACGTATGGATGTCTAATCCAGCTACCCACTCTTTACAATATTTTTGCAATTCCCTCGCGTATAAATTCCAGGTAATATTGCGGCTTTTACATGTTTCGTGAACATTGTCGAAACTTCTCGGCATTGAATCTATACATTTCCATAGCCTAGACTTTAATTCGGCATATTCTATCCCTACTTGCCTTCTAAGGTAAGCGACGCATTTTATCTGATGTGGGAGCAGTCCCATAAGATTTGCCACCCACTCTTCTTCCGGAATTTCTAATTGTTCGCCTGACTTTCGAACACATTCAGAAATGCGTTATGTCGTCGTTTTCGCCTTTAAAACGACTCATAACCTGATTTAATCGAATCTGAAGCTTTACCACTCTCGATTCAGGCTGCGGACTAGCTCTGTCGCCTGTGCACTCTGTTCTATCCTGAGTTTTTTCTAATTGAAACGCGCGGTTCTGAATCCCGTTCGGCTCTTTTGGCTTTTTCTCTCTCTAATTCGCGTTCGGCCTCTTGTTCTTTTGATCCTTATAGGCCTGAGCTATCCCTTTCAACAAATTCTCCTCGTAATCGGATGCCTCCCTATCAATTTTCTTCAACACAGCTAAAGTTTCCCCACCTGTGACTTCGAGTCCTAATTCTTGTGCCACGTGCACTACACAATCTTTCCGAATCTCGGTAAGTAAGCCATAATTAAACCTGAACTGAGCTTAACAATGCAGATAACTATACTTACGCCGGATCCTTGCTGAATTTGTGATTCTGTCAAAGCCCGGGTGGCCTCGAGACGTCCTTCCTTCCTGTCCTTCTGGCGTTTGTAGTGATGGCTTGGGCGGTCTGGCTCGCTGATTCTCGGCGGTTGTAGCGTAATTATGTCTATTTCGTCGACACTCCGCCCACGCACTGGCCCACCGCACGTTACCACCTATTATGCCTATAGTTAATTTGCACTATGCTCTTCTTCGTAGTAGTTGATTACCGTTGCCACCAATTATGTCTATAGTTGGTGTTCACTTAGCTTGCTCTCCCGTGAGATTCGATTACGCTGCCACCAATTATGTTTATATTTGGTGTGATCTATCCTCCTCCCCCCGTGGGATACGTTTACCGCTGCCACCAATTATGTCTATAGTTGGTGTGATCTATCCTCCTCCCCCGTGGGATACGTTTACCGCTGCACCAATTATGTCTATCCGTCTGTGACGTCATGGATACTCACAGCGACCACAGACACAGAGCTTTCGTATAAACAAATATATTTATTAACAAGAAAACAAACAAAATATATACACTTAATAATCTACTTAAACCCTAGCTCTGATAGCCTACTATCCCCTGATCGCGGGAGCGATCCAAAACCCGATTGAAGATGGTTTGATTGTGGGCATTCGCCACTCCTACTTTTGAAGCGCGCAACAAGCTAGCTTCCGTGACGCGGATGTCACGCTGGGACACGAAGTCCGTTCTGGCGCACCAACGGCTGGTTGGCCTCGATCGCAGGAGCGATCTTATCCGATTGAGAATCGGCGTGAATCGTGGCACTCAAACCACTTCTTACCTCGGAGCACGCACACAGCATCGCTCCCCGTGACCGCAGTCACCAAGGACATAAAGTCCGCAGGCTTCGTCAACTAATGACTCCAGCCTCGCGAGCCTGGCTGCATATGCACCGTCTAGGCGCCAAGTTTTTGTGCACACGCACGAGGTTCTCCACCGTCTCCAGAACCTGCCTACTGGCTCCGTACACGCTGTTATATAGGCGAGGCCACGTGACCTCCTACGTCACGCCCACCCCCTCGCTTGTTATAACAGTGAAAAGCTGCTATAAGCCGGAAGACACCCAAACCTTGTGTCTCCGTCTCCGCGTTCTTCCTTTACGGAAAAACCCTACTTCCTGTGGCGAGACTAATCCGCAACCAAGCGTCCCAAATAGATGCCATGAGGCACGCTGGCTAATACGTTACAGTGGCAATGTTGGCATGGAAGTGTGAGTGTGTGTTAAGGGAGAGGAGAGTACGAGGATGAGGAAGGGGGAGAAGGACGCGGTACGTGACCATATGAAAAGGGCAGTGTTCGGCATTCGCCTCGCGTTGATCCGAGACCCAAGGAAAAACAGCCGATCAGAGCAGCTGGCAACAAGGATTCTCCAGATAGCAACTGAATCTGTCCTAGCAATCTCGCTACATTTCGATTCATCCACAGTGTCCATCGACAGGTCATCATTTGTTACGGTGTCATCCAATGAGGAGCTTAACGTCACCATAATGACGCCACTGAAGTGAAGTTCAAGCTCCCGATTGGATGACACCGTAACGTCAGAGGACTGTGTTTAAATCGAAGTATAATGCGGAGTATTGTCGCCCAGCGCCGGGACTCACCTGCTGAGGGAGGTCGATGCGCGCGCACACGTCGGGGTCCGCGGGCGCGGCGCCAGCGTCGCCGCGAGCACGTGGCCGGGCGTGGGGGCGCGGCCGCGCGGCGCGGGCGGCGGCGGGGGCGGCGGCGGCAGGTCCCCGGGCAGCGGCGAGCCGCTCAGGCCGGCGGCGAGGGCGTCGTGTAGTACGAGGAGCCCGTGGCCTGGCTGATGGCGGAGGCGGGCGGGCCGGCGGCGGCGCGGGGCGGCGGAGGCGGCGGCGGGAGGCGGCGGCGGCGGCGGGCGGCCGCGTCCCTGTCGCGCTGCCGCCCGCCGCCGCCGCCGCGGCCGCCGCCGCTGCCGCCGCGGCCGCGCGCGCCGCTGGTGGTGCGCGTACAGCAGGCGGAACGGCGGCGGCGGCCGGGTCGTCGTCGTCGAGCGGCGGCGGCACGCGCGACGAAGTCACGTGCCGCAGCTCCGACGTGCAGCGTCGCCCCAGGTACGGCGTCGACATCCCCAGCCCTGCGGACCAGCGCTCTGCGCGCGCCGACGCGCTCGCTCAAGGGCCCTCGGCGGGCAAGCCGCGCTCAAGCCGCGCTCCCGAGCATAGCCCCGTGGTGGCTCGTTGCGCGTACGACAAAGCAGGCAACGGACTGGTTTACAACCTGCGCGAGGCCGGGCCACAAACGAGACTTTCACGAGGGCGTCTTCTCACCACGCTAGTACTAGCGGCTAGTTATAGCGGCTAGTAATAGCAGCTAGCGAACGTGCGCCGAGCGAAATATTTTACTTGAACTAAAACGCTAGTAATCAATGGCGCGCTATTGGCTGTGTACTTGTCGGAAATAGATTTGTGGACGAATTGGAAACGCGTGATCAACTTGCGCTACTGTACTTGCAGACTAGGTGATCTTTGTGAACCCTTCAAATCATGCTAGTTTTCCAAGCAATAACACTGAGCAACTAGCTCTTGTGAACTGTCATCTACTCGCCGGAAAGTCTATTAGCTATTGCAAGCAGCTAATTAATTAGTATTGAGTGCATTGATCTTCAGTGGGTAAGAGGAGCTGAGGAACTGTCGGTGACGTACTTCGGGAAGGTAAAATATGCACACGTAAACATGGGTGGTCCAGGACCTTCAAGTGGCGATCGGAAACTAGGAGTGCAAAGAACGGTATTCGGAAGAGCGAAAATGTTAATGATAAATAAAATAGGTAAATAAAGTTATAAATGAAATTGGTAATGAAGATCAATCATTCAAATGACAGATGGGCTCGAAATACGGCTGTGCATATGCGCCTCATTACCGTGAATTTTTTAACAATTCATGATTAATCAACATAAATTGTTTGGGACAATTCCACATTGAAACAGTCGACACAATTATGCAATTCAATTAACATTAAACTATTCCTGTTAACAAGAATGAAATGAAAACTGAAATCATGATTGATTTTCCAGCACTTCCCTGACATTCCCTTGGTAAAATGTGTCGCTCTTTCGCGACTTATACTGTAATGTTTATGGCCTTAAATTCTATCTAATCTCACCCAATCTTAACCCACATATACTTTACGTCCATATTGTGCGTTATGGTTGTGAGAGGTAAGTAGATTTCGTTGCACATTCCACGCACTGATTGTCGTCTCGCCCACTCGCGTACGCTTAGCGCTACCTAGTAGTACGTAATTACAATATTTATTGCTAAATCTTAGACATGTGGCGGAATTATACTATTAGAGTGCTCAAAGGTCTTAGCTGCTTATGCCTCGTCAACTTCGGAGCAGAACAACCACATTTTGGTTTACACAGGCCTCTCTTTACGATTTAACCACATGCATATTGCAACGAAGCACGGTTTTAAAAGAAGATTTGAACGGAAGCTAGTCATGAATACACCTTAGCCATAAGGGCAGAATGTTTAAGCGATCTCGGCTAAATCGCCATCTACCATTCAGGAATTCCACAATACGTCTCGCTTAGAATGTGTATGTCTGTGGACAAAATAAAATTCACAATATACGAATTCTAGGTAAGAAAACACACTGTTGAAGTGACCTGCGTCATTTTTGGGGCCATGGAAATATATGGATTAATCAGGGGTACGCTTACAATGTGGTTGCCGATCTCTCAGGAGGCCAGCTGCGTTTGTGACTGAGCATAACGCGTTTCAAACCCACGAATCACTGACGAAACGTTTCCCAAGAACCCTTTCACCGGTCAACCGCGTTGCGCACGTGTTTTATTAAATTGTATATTAACTGAATTCGAAACCAAATGTTTCATGAAGTATTCATAAATAATATTTCAAAACCAAATGAGTTAATTTTTATTTACAAATCAAATCGCACTCTGAATATTCAAAAAATAACAGTTTCATTTTAAAATGGAGGCTGTGCAGCATGGAACCTGAATTTTCGACTCTTTGTTTTTTATCTCTCATTCATGTTCTATTACATCTCCATTTTCCTGTTATTTTGTTAGATATTTCACACAAAAAAAAAGAGGAAAATGGAGATGTAATAGAGCAATAGATAATAATTTGCATCAGCCGTTATATGCTGATCTAGACGTGCAGTTGTACACATGAAGAAAATAAGAATTGATTCGAGGGTAGATTGCAAATTATTATATTTAAGACAATTTTTCCACTCAAAAAACATACACAAAGCTTAACGGAACAATGGATAATATTGAACTGTTCCCGATCTCCCCTTATCTCGAGAGAACTAATCTATTATGCACATCTCATGAGAATTATCCAATCGTACGCTTTGGTTCAGTATTTCAGAATGCCAGCATGAGCTTACGTCACCACTCTCTCTTATTTAGGAAAATATTTTTCCGCATCCTGTATACAAGAGGAGAAATATGCTCATCTAGTGTGCCATTTAACAGCAGAATCTATTTAGGTCACAATAGATGAAGTTGGACGACTATCCAACGGGATAGTCGTCCAACTTGAATGAGCAATAACTCGAGTGAGTTTGGACTTGCATTGTCACCATTTCAGTTTTCAACTGCTTCGCGCGTATTCACATTGAATGACCTTTCCAAAGCACCCCTCGTCATGTCTTTTCCGACCACCTCGCTTAGAGGGTGACACTTTATGGCAATGAAACTAGGACTTAAACGAAAAGAAAATTCAATCAGCAGTTTTTAGAATGTGGAATACGAAGAAGAATGCAATGTGTCAAGTGAGTGATGAAAATATAAGGAAAGATCGAGATATGACAGAACTGGCTGCTTGCGAGAAAGTAATTTAAATTAATCGAGTGGGCCATGCGATTAGTGATTACCGATTTAGACGATGATGATAAAAATGAATGAGAAATTTGTTGCAAATTGAAGAATAAGGTGAATGAGGCAAACATTTCATCCGATGTGTGTGATAAAACATTTTTAGAATGACTGTGGGAGAATGAGAAATACGCGGCATTTTAGGTAGTGAAATGATGGTGGAAAGTGCTACATAATTTTCTTGACGTTTACGTGTCGTCTTGTTGAAATTTTGTCTAAGACTTCTCATGGAAGTTCCGAGATAAAAATTATATTGAAAAAATTGCAAAGTGATTTTTTATATAGTATATTTTGCGTTTTGAGAAAATTGTTCGTGAAGAAATTTAAGAAATATTTGTTCAGGCGTCGATTTCTGTGGCCATTGACATAATACCAGAAATATTACGTTTTCACATGATTTCAATTATAGCCAAGGATGGCGTGTAATCAACATGCTTCGGTTTATATTTTTGATGTGACCTTGCCACATAACATGTGTTCTTGCGGCCTTGATATTTAATCACGATATTCAGTGTTTTGATTAATAAACATATATTATTTATATTACATTATTATATATGTTATATATAACATGCAGGGCCTGCGAGATGTCGAAATATGGGGATCAGTCACGGGAAAAATAAGGGCAGGAGTGGAAAAGAAAGGGAGAAGGAAATCACGCGAAAATACAAAAAGGAACCAGTAAACTGGAAGGACCATGGAGATGAGGGCGAGGGTGCCTGTCGGGTAAGAGTGCCTGTCGTGTGAGGTGAGGGAGATTGTCAGGTGAGGGAGGGTGTCTGTCAGGCGAGGATGTCTATCGGGTGAGGGTGTATGTCGAGTGAGAGTATTGGTCGAGTGAGGGCATCTCTCGGGCGAGGGTGTCTGTCAGGAGCGGATGTCTGTCAAATGAGAGTGTCTGTCGGATGACAGTTTCTGTCGGGTGAGGGTGTTCGTCGAGTGAGAATGTCTGTTGAATATCGGGAGTAGGTGTCTGTCCGCGAGACTGTCTGTCTGGTGATGGTGTCTGTCAGGTAAGGATGCCAGTTAGGTGAGGGTGTCTGTTAGGTAAGGGTGTCTGTTTGGTGAGAGTATCTATTGGGTGAGGGTGTCTGTTGGGTGAGGGTGTCTGTCAGGTAATGGTGTCTATCGGATGAGGGTATCTGTCGAGCGAGGGTGTTTGTCTGGTGAAAGTGTTGGTCAGGTGAGAATGTCTGTTGGGTGAGGGTATGTGTCGAGTGAGTGTGTCTGTCAGGTGTGGGAGTGTGACTCGAAGGTGATTGTCGAGTGAGAGGGTCTGTTGAATAAGAATACATGTCAGGTGTAGGTGTCTGTCACGAGATGGGTGCCTGTCGGGTAAGCATCAATGTCGAGTGAAGGTGCCTGCCGGGTGAGGGGCTCTGTCAGGTAAGGGCGCCTATCGGATCAGGGTATAAGTCGGGTGACGACGTCTGTCGAGTGTGATTGTCTGTAGAGTGAGGGTATACATCGAGTGAGGACCTCTGTCGAGTGAAGGTATCTGTCGGATGAGAGTATCTCTCGTGTGAGAGTGTCTGTCGATTGAGGGTATCTGTAGAGTAAGGGTATCTATCGAGTGAGGGTTTTGTGTGAGTGAGAGTGCCTTTTGGGTGAGGTTACTGTGAGGCGAGGGTGTCTATCGGATGAGGGTATCTATTTGGTGAGCGGCTCTGCCGGGTTAGGGTGTTTGTACGGGTGAGGGAGTCTTTCGGGTACGGGTACTGTCGGATGAGTGTGTCTTTCTGGTGAGGGTGTTTGTCGGGTTAGGGGGTCTTTCGGGTGTGGGTACTGTGGGGTGTTGGAGTCAGTCGGGAGAGGGTGTCTGCCGGATGAGGATGTCTGTCGGGAGCGGAGGGTCTCGGGTACGGAGCCTGTCGGGTGCGGAGACAGCGGTGCGCGGAGCCTGTCAGGTGCGGAATCTTTTGGGTGTTGTGTCTCTCTAGTATGAAGTCCGTCGAGCGTGGAGTCTGTTTGATGCTTAGTCAATGGTGTGTCGGGCGCAGCGTGTCGGGCGCAGAGTCCATGGTGTCGGGAGCTAGTCGAATGCATGAGCTAGCGACGACGCACCTGAGGTGAAGCTGAAGCCTCCTGTTTTGAGCGGCCGGTCGTCGCTGAAGTCCAAGTGCAGCGGCGACGCATCGCGACACGCCTTGTCCGCGCTGAACTCCAAGATGCCGCGGCCCGCGCGTTCACTGCGCAAGCAAAGCGCGCGCTCACACTCCACGCGTCCATACACTCCTCCGCGTGGGATGGCTTAAATGTATTTTCAAAATGTCAATGTCTCTTCAACGTTTGCCCACATTTTTATTGCTCGATTTAAATAGAGTTAATGGTTACAGATCATCAGCTGTGACGAGGGTGTGCAATACCAAAAATGTATGTCGTAATGAAGCTCCTGATTGGGTAACCGTGTCCAGCTGATAGTCTGTCACAAGTCACTCTTTATCAATTCAACAAAAAATCGGCAATGGTTATGAGAATAACAAAATACTTTAAGAATATGATATTAGTTTATACGAACTATTCATGTTGAAGCATATTGCAAATTCGTCTCATTGAAATAAAAGGGTAGACAGTTATAAGTCAGAGTATTGGCATTAGTCGGTAAACCAAGCAGGATTTGTGACTCGATTCACTAATGTTTTGCCTGTTACCACGCATACGAGTATATAACTTATCACCAAGAGTTTGGGTAAGTTGAAACATGGCTAATTCAAGTAGTTTATCTACAACGATCACTGACGAAAAGCAAAACACGAAAGAATATACGTGACACTAATACCCTTCATAAAAAGATGTTTATGCATAGCGCTCATTTGCATCATAAGCATTATATAAACGTTTGCCCACATTTTTATTGCTCGATTTAAATAGAGTTAATGATTACAGATCATCAGTTGTGACGAGGGTGTGCAATACCAAAAATGTATGTCGTAATGAAGTTCCTGATTGGGTAACCGTATCCAGTTGATGGTCTGTCACAAGGTGATTAAAATAACGGTTTGTAATTTAGAAATTATTTTCTCAATAGCAGAACTAACTAAGACACTAACCACGACAATTTAAATGCCCGAGGAAAGATAAGAAAAATATTACTGATTTTGGAAAATGCTGTTTCGGTAGTTAATTCTATCATTGATGAATAGTAAACATAAATCATGATGAGCAACTGGAGAGTAACTTAACCCAAATCTTGCTTAAATTTCCGCTCCGGAAATTGTCCACATATGTTAAGTACAAAATTAATATTTCAGAACGTTTGATAATTACAACCACCGTAAAGTTGATTTATGAAAAGAGGATCGACATACAATTTAGATTTTATTTCAGGGAAATTCGTTTTCTCGAACATTTTTGTGAGGTAGCTTTCAAGGAGTTTTAGTATGAGTTTGTAAAATATTGTTGGCGTACAATTGTGAAAACGAGTTTAAATTATTTCTTTCGGGTATTTTAATTAGCTAGTCGTTCACTTGCTTTTGAACTCTTTGGTAAACGTCTAGGAAATCACCAGCCTCAATCTCAGAAATGTTGTATGTGTTATTTATTAAAGAATAAATTGATTTAGAAACTAAAATTTCCAACTTTTCTTTGTTTAAAATAAGATGTTAGATTTTTTTACAAAAATACTGCACTTGAAACGTAACCAAGAATCAAGAACCTTATATTCTATAGTGTTCTCATGTGTTTTAAGGCGACTTGTAAAGGGCCTGAACGTGTTGGGAGGGCATCGCTAAGACTAAAACGATCACAGAGAAATCTGAGCACATCCAAATACGCATTCCTATTAGTGGAAAACAGAGAACTATGTCGTTCGTTCGGTACAACTTAAAGAAAAAGGGAACACGATGTGTGAATGTTGTTCATGATTAAAAGTAACAAAGTATACACAAACAGTCAGGGAGCAACAGACAGAAAGACAGGCAGAAATACAGAGACAGAGACAGAGACAGAGAGAGAGAGAGAGGAAGATATAGTAAGATAGTGTGAGAGAGTGTGTTTGTGAGAGAGAGAGAGAGTGTTTGTGTATGTGAGAAATAGATAGATAGATAGAGATAGATAGAGAGAGAAGAAAGAGAAAGAGAGAGAGAGAGAGAGAGAGAAAGAGAGAGAGAGAGAGAGAGAGAGAGAGAGAGAGAGAGCAAAATAGTCGGTTAAATTTTGAGAACTACGATAGTGATATTTTTGTTCTCTCATTCCATCGATTTCTCAAAGGATATTATTGCTGCAGACGGAGAAGTAGAATCAACAAATTTCTCTAAGTGATCTTGTAAGTCAACAGTTTAATTTGATGTGAACGTGAATGCTGCCTCAGAATTGGATGTAAAGAAGTCGACGGATCATCATTAAACTTAGTAATGGGCTTGCAAACACTACACCCACGCAGCCTTTCAAGCAACTACGAAAGCCCAGTGCTTTGAGCTTTACTATACATACAGTGGATATTTCTGCTTTTTTTGTTTTTCCAGCAGGAACATTAAGGGTAGCATAGTCTTGCACTTTTAATACATAAACAATTAATTACAAAGTTGCTGGGGGAGGACATTACCACAGAAAAACTTGAGACAGACGTCAAACAACGATCTTACAAGAAAGTTCTGAAGGCAATATTTCCAGTTCCTAGATGTAACTCAGAGTGCTAGATTTTTTTTAACAAACCGTTGAAGTACCCAAATAACCCAAGTAGTCAATATGAAGACTGATAAAACCCTTGCCCCTGTCGATGAATGACATGTAACATATTTCCAACAGCATTCAAGGCATGCGAAAACATTACTTCAATTTTTTAGTCAAACACGAAAAGGGTCTATAGGCTTCTCAAAAACAGTAAAGGCCTCAGAAAGTATAATCCATCACTTCAACAGTTTCCAAGTTGGACTCCAAACAGATTTATTTTGCAAAAATCAAAATTAGAATAAGAACAGAATGAATGTTCTGCTCGTATTGAGAGAGCACAGCGCAAAACTTGTCCGATGAATAATTTGGTTGCTTAATTTCGAAACAAAAAAGTAGCTCATGCCTTAGGTTGACAATGAGCACGCTTCCTCTCTTCTTTTGCCATTGAAATTCACAACCCTCTCTGAGTATTCGCGTCAGCTATAAAATCGTGGTCATTGCATTTCAGTAAGAGCGATATGCGACCACAGACCTTAGTATATTCGAAGCCGACCAATGGGTAAGGACATCTGAAAGTGAGCGTTCCGCTCACCCCTCGAGCTTGTTCGACTCGGCGAACCAAACGAGACGTAGGTCGGCGAGCGCGGCTACTTACTACTCGGAGCCGTCGTCGGAGGAGTCCCTGCTCTGCGAGCCGGCGCTGGCGAGCGCCGCGTGGTGCGGCCGGCGCCGGGGCGGGATGAAGGCACACTTGCGCACGTCCGACTCGCGGTCCTGCGAGCTGGAGCGCGACGCCAGCCCCGGGCGGTGGCGCGCCGCGCGCGGGTCCACGCCCGCCAGCTCCTCCTGCGAGCAGAGCGCACGTGCCTCACAGCGGCGAACGGGCGAGAGCGCGACAGGACAGGAGGACGTAGGGCAACGGGACGGAAGGTCCTGGGGAACGAAGGTACAGAAGAACAAACGAAACTAGCGATGCCAAAAAAGCGCGTACGTTTACGCAATTTTTATGCAAAATGACGCGAAAAGTACTCAAATTTGCGAAAGATTGGACATGACCTTATTTCAAAATCTATCTTACAGGAACAGATTTCACTAAGAGAAAGATATATTTATCTTCATAATTGTAGTTGTAGGAAGACGCCGAAAACAAAATGAACTGTTGCTAAGTGGAGACCAACTCTTATTTACTGCACATACGTTTTCAGCAATGCGGACACGCGAGGCGCGCGGGGCACGATGACAAGCGCAATGAGACGGGCACTGTCAGACGCAACTGAACAACGACGGGGAAATCAGGCTTCCAAACGCCGTGTAATGTTCTATAACGTCCCTCTGATACCTCCACAATAATGTTCAAAGCATACAGCTGCGCGGTTCAAATACGAGTCGTTAATAGTGATGACATCGACTGCGTGCGCCTCGACTGTTTGCCCATTGCACCGAAATGGTTAAATTCTTCGGCACATGATTCTTAAAGTAGATATTTCAAAATATGACTTTATATAAATTAAAAGTATTTTGAATAAAAATCCACTATGATATGGCCATTTGAAAATTGGCTATTTTTAGTTTTTTAACCTAAAATTAATCAAATTACCACTAATGTGGCGCACTGATTAAGTCAGGCAAGGAATGTTTTACGACCAGAAAAATGCTGTGGGATACAGTGAGCACCACCTCTGTAAAAAATTCGTTGAAAAAATACCATTAAAATATTTACTCCTTAGCTTCTAATAAGTGTCGAAAAAAGTGTTGTTTATTGGAATTTTTGGCACCCTAAATACGTTTTAAACAGAATTTCTAAAATATAATAACTTAAACGAGATATTTTGAAGGTGACTAACAACGAGTAATAAAATTGGGGTAGAGGCACCATTAAAACTACACATAGTGTCAGATTCCTCTCCTAATTGGGTAATGAATGGAAAGCCATGAAAAAGAGAGCAATGGAGGTAAAACAAACGGCATTGAACCAGATTTTAAAGGAAAATTTGTATCGCAATATTTTTCATACACGAAACGTACAGGGTTTTATAAACACTTTGCATCTCTCGTGAATGAGACAAACAAGAATGCTTCTATTGGTACATCCCCTTTGGTACAAGGACCTTTGGGAGACATCCTCGACGATCGAAAGGGATACACGTAGCTGCTACTGCTACTGTGCTGCTATTGTACATGCAATTTCTTTCTTAATGCATGAAAAGGTTTTGCTGGTGATGATGAATATTTCATACCACATATCTGACACTATCGATAAGATGATGTTGCATGTACGAGCGCATTACGGACAATTAGATCATCTACATTAGAGGTTCCCAACGGAGTCGATATCACCCTCCTGGGGATCGATTTTTTATAGATTCAACGATGATCATGATTCATTTGGGAGTGGGGATGAAATGTGCTCCGGCTAATGATCGGTATAAGAAGATGCAATTGACTACAAAAAATGAATTATGCTGATAATTATTTGCTTTCTGATATTTAATATTTGTTTCTTTTATTTTTCAATTGAATAATTAAGCACTAATTTGCTCCGCATTTGGAATTTAACACCATTCACATGAAAGAAAATCGAACTCATGTGCTATTAGAATATGAGGTTTTGTTACTACAAAGGATATAGATTTTGATATTGTTAATATTTTTAAATTATAAATATTAAAACAACAAAAATAATAAAAGAATCCTCGCGCTGGGCTTTTCAAAAACTTTTCATTCATGAGACGTTAACTTACGTATGTGGAAGGATAGGGCCAAAGAAGAAGATTTGTGTCAAGAATATGTGACTTGCTGTAAATAATAGAGGAACATCTAAGGGGATCAATGAAGCAAACCATTGTCTTAAAAAGGGTCGATGCCAGAGAAAGGTTGGGAATCTCTGTTCTAAATGATGAAGAAGAAGTCGCCCTTGATGAGGGTTGACAAGCGGAGAACGTGTTTGCTTAGAGCACGCTGCGGTCGCCAAAACTCCTGCTGCCTGGGGCCAGGGAACGTAGATTTCTCCTATTAAATGGTAGGTAGTTGTCATGGAACGCTAGAAAATACTTATTACCAGTCCGTAAAAATTACTTCAAAGTATTTCCAAAACGTTTTCTTTTAGAAAATAGGTTTACAATTATGCATTTGGAATCAAAATGTATAAAAAAGTCAGAGGAATTTTATTTCTAAAAAATACTAAGACGAAATGCCTTGAACAATTTAAATTAAAAAAAAACAAGTTATTCGTTGAGTAATTAGTAGGCAGCAACTAACAAAATATGGATTTGAACAATAGACGAAATGTTTAACTTTATAACTCTTTTTTACCATTTTACACGGCTAAACTTTTGAGTAAGATCAATATGCTTGGATAACTAATGAAATTTGTATGATTTTTACTTTAAATTTACACTTTGATATGCAGGTTGCGCTTTCAATCAATACGTAACATTGAGACAGTAACATTATTTTGTCTTTAAGTATGTAAATAAGATGTTAGATTGTTTTTATAATTCAATAATCTTTATTTATGCAAAAATCCAACGCACTTGCTGGGGCTAATTCACTGGTTTCTCGTAAGATTTGCTTTCCTACTCTGTGATCTTGTCATATGGTGACAGAGCACGGTAAGTGCGCCGAACCTATCTGAAGGTAATTTGTGTGTGCTTTCGTCTGACATCTATGCCCTGAATCAGGATCTTCTAGGCACGTACTTCTACGAGAAGCGTCCGACCGCTGTTTGCTCTGGGTCCGGTTGGCACGTGGGGGAAGTAGATAAGGAGAGGATTAGGTACAACCGCGCGCTACGATGTCCCAAATCTGGGGATTGCCGAGTCCCCTAAAGGTGTGAAAAATAAAAGTGAAAATATTATTTTACTACCAAATTTGTACCTCTTAATGACAAGCAAATTAAAAACCCAATATTTGAAAATGTGTATTTGTTTTTTTTAAATTTAATGTTTGACAAATTCCCTTTTGTAAATGCTTTCAGGTGGCTACTTTTTGGTGTGCAATTTTATAGCTTAGGCGCATTGCTGATTGTTTGTGAAACTTAATGTTTGCATTGCTCTGGTCCGTCTGTTTGTAGCCCTAAATTTAATAGACAGACTAAATTTAATTAAATTCGCCATAACAATTCTCAGTAAATAAAAAGATAGCGTGGAATTATATATTTCCCTAACACAGGTATAAATATGTACGTAAAGTTTCTATTGCTAACTGGAAGTAAAGTACGTAGGTTATTGGTGCCCTAAGCTTTTAAAGCAGGAATACTTGTCTTTCTTCTTATTCTTATTCTTTTCGGCGAAACAATCGCATTCGATGTCGTAATTGACCATATAATGCTGCAGTATATTCAAAATTGAGTATTTCGTCGGATACTAAGAATTTGGCATACCCACGTGTACATAGAGCTCTCTCCATACTTAAACTCCCCTCTTAAAGATACTGAGAGTGGCCATAAATTCTGTGAACCATCTACTTCATTCATTTCTCTTCGGGCAGAACGCTACGTATAGTTGTCACTAGCCGCTCAAGCTGTCGCTCCGGCCGCGTTCTCTGCTGCTCTCCACTGGGCCTGCGCTCCCGAAAAGAATCAGTGGGCAGCCCTGTCCTAGATGATCATGAGTAAATGACATCAAAAGCGCCATGTCCGCAATCGATCACACTTTAACCCAAAATGCGGGAAACAATTCCAGTGATGTAGCATATTGCAACGTACAAGAGTTATCAGGAACAGTAGTCACCACGGCATACATAGGAACGTTAGCATACTCGTATATCGTGTGCCTTTAATTGGATATTTGAAACCTTTTTGCCTGACTCATTTTATTGAGAAAAATAGCGGTGGACGGCATTCTTCTGGCAATGTTTTAAAGATTAGGAGTCAGTCATTGTGATTCTTTCTATTGATACATTTCAAATTTCACCTTTTGTAATTTTTCTATTTTTATTGATCTTCAATAACAATTTTTAAAACAAACAGATTTTTCCGTATGACTCGAAGCGTTCTTAGTCACGAGTATAACCGTTATTAATTGTTTGTAACTGTGGTGACTGTTTGTTTATGGCAGTTTCTGCAATAAAACGCGTGTCAGTTTCTGAATGCAAATCAAATGTACATCATATTTACAAGCGCAATTCGTTCTAATTAAGCAAAATATTTGAAGAACTTAAAATCAATTGTGAAAACATTTTAAAAATGTCTTACAGTCTCCATTAAAAGTAACCACAAAAATTAAATAATTATTCTCAAATTAGCGGGCTATTCAGTTCGGCCAGATCGATTGGGGAAAATCATACGAACAGTTTACGTGCTAGAGTTGTTCGCACACAAACAGACGGACAGACGGAACCATGAAAAAATACTTTCACAATCTAGCCATTGATTTTCTGCAGTATTACGTAACGAGAATGTAAAAACACGGGGCGTCAGGTTGGGCAATCCTGGTGGTCAGACATCGGGGTCGCGCCCGTCAGCCAGCGGTGCGCGAAGTATGCATTGAGAGAGGTGACATGACCGCGCTTTGAAAAGCTAATATTTCTGGTTATTATGGCAACAATACTATCCCAACGCATCTCCCCATCTGTCCCGTCCCGGTGCGAATGATGTCTATTTAGGGTATGTTGCAGCTTGCGCGTTTATCGTGTTTCCGACGTTGTTACAGAGCAGTTGCCTCCAGGCCCCATTAATGTCAACTTTGGCTACCCCACGTATTCAATGTGTGCGGGGATAATAACACACTTGTATACAGGGTTATTCAGTAGGATTCCACCCCGATGTTCTCTGAACGGTACGAGATATTCAGATGGAACCCCAAAGAATCCGGCCGATGCAACTGTCGAGGCCACTGCGAGGAGCT